AGGAGCGACGAGCAGCAGGAGGCGCGAGCGGCGACAGAGGCAGCGTTTGCGAGCAGCGACAGCGGTGAGTGGCGACAACGGCAGCGTTTGCGAGCAGCGACAGCGGCGAGCGACGAGATCGAGATCGGGATCGAGAGCAGCAACGGCAGCGGGTGAGGGTTGGGTAAGGGTTATATCGGTTTAGTTGGTTCGATTGAACCAACTAATAACCGAACCAGACCTAAAATCCTGGTTCGGTCGCCTTGGTTTACCCAGGCGCTCGCCCGAAGCGCCCAGCGCCTTGGCTTGGGCGAGCGCCCAGGCGGCGCCTGTTTGAAGCGCGCCGCCTGGGAGATTAGCGAGGCGCTCGGGCCTCGCCTCGCCTCGCCCGAGCGCCTAGGCGAGCGCCCGAGCGCCTTTTTCAATCACTGTAATCTACAAAAAACTCCACAAATATCTCATATATCCTGCAAATCTCAAAAACTCCCCCTTATATTATCCTGCCATTAGAACTACTAGACCCCGCTAGGACCCATTTAATTAGTTCCTATCCACCATCAACCCCGGTTAAGGAAAACGGGTCCGAACAAGATCTAGCAAGGTTTAACATCAAGGCCATATAAGGGGGTTTCTATGTTTGTAAGGGTACAAAGGACATTTGCATTTTTCTAAATTCTAAGGATAAATAAAATATTATGGTTCTTTGCAGAGGTACACCAGAATTTCAACCAAAAAAGACCTAACAACACGTATTAGTATATTTGAAGTGGAAAGCTTAAGTCTATGGCAATTGATAGAACCATTACATAAACAGGAGATATCCCCAAGTATATTCGAGAAAATAACTGGAGATGAACTGAATAAACCTCCCACTGAAGTAATCAAACAAACCACCAGAAAAATATAAAACATCCACGACTCATACTCATGGTAAATTATAGTACACAGACATTACAGGACATTTCTTGAAGGAAACTAGGGCAAAAGAATTATCTTTTGAAATTTTCAGATGAACTGTCTGTACAATCAAATCTCACAGGACAGTCTTACCAGATAAAGATTAGCACTATCATCTTGTAGTAGACTTATGTTGCAAATAACTCCTGTCTAGATTAACCAGGGAACAATATGTACATAAAACCATGTTTAGATGAAAATCATTCTGATCTTGGAATATGTTCTCTTCTGGACCTGCCCATGGCAGTTCACAGCCAGCACCTATAACGAATAGGATACTCTTTAACATGCTAATCTGTACATGTTCTAATCTACCAGCTTATGTTCTCTTACTCATGTTTTACAGCAAACTCAAGAGGACAACAAATGCAATATTCTCCATCAATCAGCGAGCCCCCATAAAATCAGATCAAAATCTTTTGGTAAATACAAGTTCAAACTGTATAACAAAAATATAAATATTATAAGTAGGAAAAGAAAAAAAAGTAGCAAGCATATCAATCTCGTATAGGAACATTGGAAACATAACACAAACTAGAAAGTACAAGCGAAAATTTGAGTACCTGTAGCATGCCATCCTAAAGCAGAGTAAGGACTTATAGACTTAAGTTTAGATAAGCAAACTTCAGCATCCCTGCATTGTGACATGCTTATGTAGACCTTAGCCAGGTCATGCCATGTCTGGATTTCCAAACTTCTATCATTTTTGTCACCCTGTAAAAGAAAATTTGAAAAGTGCATAAAAAATTCCATGCATTTGAAATCAAGAACAGAACATAAATGCAAATGATAAACCTCATAAACGATATAATAATAGCTAAGTGCAAATAAGGAAACACGTTAAAGTTAAAAGGGAAATATACAAGGCAGAAAAAAAGGAAAAGTCAGTATATTTAAAGGACTTGCAGAAAAGTTTTGAGTCCGGAGAAAGAGCACTACAACAACAGCAACAAGATATAGGCTAAACAAACGTGACATTACCTTTAATGATGTCAGTCCAACACCAAAACTTTTAGTCCTCAACTGAATTATGGCAAGAAGATGAGTATATGTCTCAATGGCATTCTTCAGTTTTCCCTGTGCAATCTGAATTTTAGCTTTAGTTCGCAATAGTTCTCCATGGCTCCACTTTCCTGTTTGTTCCAAAGCAGCATCAATAATGGTCTCCGCATCAACAAACCGTTTCTGAGCAGATAATATTCGAGCTAAAAGAATCCATCCAGCCTCATTTGATCCAGCCTCTAGTTTCAGAAGCTGCTTGGCATAGCGAAGTGCTGCATCCAACTTTCTCTGTTCAGCATTTGCTAAGCTGAGATTATATATGGTCCTATAATCTTTTCCAGGAATCATTTTTTCAGCTTTTTCAAGCACCTCAAGTGCCTCGGACTGCCTCGAAACTCTTTCTGAATCAGAGGTAGAAGATCTAGCCTGCACTGAAAGAGAAATGCCGAGTAAACAGTTAGCTACACTTCCAATTTGATCACAGCAACCATGGACATTGGCAAGCGCCCTGCGTGCAAACAAAACCCCTTCCTCTGCACAAAAACTATTCTCACCACAAACTTTAGAAGCAAGTAACAATGCTTTTACACAATCTGGATCCTCGCTAGCACTCAGTAGCTTCCTCAGCAAATTCAGAGCCGTAAGGTCATCATCTTCCCCTAAGTAACACAACGCAAGAGTATAATACTGTTCTTTCCTCTCTAGGATACCAGGTAACAACTCTTCTACCTGACCGGCCAGAGAACTTAGCTGCCCGGAGACACATAGCGCATAAGTCAGATGATCAGCGATAGATGGATCCCACTCAATTCTCTTGAGAGCAAACTTCCTCAATAGAATTATTAACAGAAGAATTGCCTCTTCCATATTGTTCCTGGGTATAAATGCACCATCCATTTGAGAACGAAGGTTTGGAGGGCTTGCATCGCAGCCTCCATAAAGAAGAAAAATAGCAAATTCTTTTTGTATCTTTGCCATAGTATCAGCATCAAGATTCCAGTGTCCAAGGAGGGCCCGCCGGTAAGATGAGATGGCTTCATGGGAGAAACCAGCCAGCTTCCAAAGCTCCGGAAGCAACTCAACTGCCTTGCATACTATCTCCTGTAATTTATTATCAGTAATATTCCCTGGTGAGCCATCAGGTAATGCAGACTCTAAAGTGTCCAAAACAATGTTGCATGATTGAGCAGCTTCTGCAACAATGAGAACTGTTTCAGTCATGCTAAGCATTTCAATATATAGTTATGAACGTCTATCCATCTCTATTATGAGTAAAGAATACTCCCATAACCCATACAAATAGTTAAGAGCAAAAACTCTCTGTAGGAATTGACAGGATAACCACCTTGAGCATCAAATCAGGAGGCTTTGTAATTGACCTCAAGGCCCCTGCTTTTCTCCATAAAGAAGCATATTATCACAGTGTCACCACACAACAGCTTTAGAGGTAAGAAATCTATAGACAATTGTATCTTCTTGAATCTTGACCATATTGAGTACTGACACTTTACCTAAATTTGATGACAGATCCAAAAGTTCAAGATCATATTAAAGAACCAAATCAAACTAGTCTTCCTTATAGAAGTTTAAACCTAAACTATATTTGTAAATGATGGAATAGCTAGGATGTAGTTAGTATAAAAAAGAAATCAGAAAACATTGATATGAAATGCATAAATGAGTAATAAAATAACAAGGAAAACTGCTTTATAAGCACATCTGAAATCATCAAAATAAAAAAAATATAAGCCATGTCTGTACCTATTTTTTTATTGTACCTAACCAGGTAAGATTAACTTTTGCAAGTTTTGTCTTCAAAAACATAATTTCTCATCTTATAAGTACAAAGGATATGATGTGGGCGGCAGTGGTGTAGATACAAGATATGATTTATAAATCTTAAGCCTGTCATAGTACTCTCTGTGTAAGACTCAATAACCTCCAAACAGGACTATTTAGATTCCACAAATGATGCAAGAGAAACAGATGACTACATGTGTTCAAAATAAATTATTCAAAATATTATATTTACCTTTAAACCTTCCAAGATCTTGCAGTGCTCTTGCTTTCAGATATACTGCTTCAACAAGTAAGCTAACTGCATGTATGGACATTGGTCCTGAATCCCAGTTTGAATGAAACTTCCGGCGTTCTATTCTTTTAGTAATAGCAGTTCTGATCTTAGGGCCTACCGAAGCAAGATCTATTCCATCAAAAACACGAAGTGCAGCTTCCACATTTCCTCTTTGATATTCTAGCCTTCCAAGCAGGGCTCTTGCTTCCTGCAAAATATAGTTCCATTAGATAATCCCAGATGGAACAGCTAATAATCTTATTTTGCATGTCTATATAGTATGATGAACATTGCAAGAATATAAGAATTTGTTTGGCATAAGAACACAATACAACGAGGGTAGTATGATTAATAGTGTTACATTTGTCTTATATCGCAAGGACGTGGAGAAGGCTTCCATCAAGTATCAATATTATTCTGCTAGAATAGAATGAACACCAGAGGTTCTAGATATATGTTTCTACTTAGTGAAAAATATAAACAAAAAATTAAATCAAAATTCAAAAATGAAGCAAACGCAACTTGCCAACCCGCCCATCATAGACTTAAGCTTAAATGATTCAAATTTAGGCTTAATATAGTATTGATCAAATATATATGAAATAAATTTTAACCGGCATTTTAACCTAAAAATTAACTAAAAGCGAAGCATGAGCATGGATAGACTCACTCAGGATTGGCTAAATTAAACCCCTACCATACAGTTGAATAAATAACTATCCAAATCAGCTCAAACAATTAACACAAAAACTACAACTAGATGCAAGAAAAAGAAAACTCTTTGGTGTACTGTTAAGGCAACATATCATGAGCTGAATCCAATGCCAAAAAAGTACAATTAATGCTGAACTTAGAAAACATGAGACTAATATGTGTGTAGTAGAACCTGTCAAGGCCTTTCTAATTCCTTCATATGAATAAAGCCAAAAGGGACATGTTGAAAGACCAACCTCATAATTTAAGCAGAGACCTTCACGAAGAGATGATTCAGCTTCTTCAATGTTTCCAGTGTCGACCCTCTGCTCAGTCTCACCATTTTGACATGAATAACGTACGGCTGAGCACTCCTTGGTGGCCAGGGACTCAGACGACCGAACCATTTCATCTACTTGTAATTGTTCACCAGAACACAAGCACTTCATTGTGTTCTTCAAAAGTCTAGACAAGGGTCCTGGTCTCTTCATTCATTTCTTACCACTCTGCTTCATGATAAACAGAACAGTATGCTTATTCAAAGCACCCAACAAACATGGGAAGGGGAGTTATAACAATTGCTGAAAAATATTAAGTTCTACAACAATTGTTGGGAAACAAAACCAAGAAAGCAAGCAATTATTTCAGACCCCATTGAATTTAAGTACAACAACATTTATTGAACGATAAAGATACAAGTAAAAAACGTTGTTGAAAGACACAAAATACAGCATCCAGTTTAAAAAATTTTGTAATTGTATGCTAATAAACAATAGGATTAATCATTAATATAAATCGAACTATAGGAGCCTTAAGACAGATTTAAATATTAAAGAATTCACCATGGGAAGATCTCCCCGCTTTGTTAACCAAAAATAGGGGGGGGAACAGTCTTTAACTCAATCAGCCGCTCTTCAGGGTCAGAAACATTATGTTTGAATTCAACAAACCCAACAATTACAAGCATAGGCAGACCATTAGATATATGCCCCTCAAGACCAACGCTTCAGAAATTGCGCAAATAAATTCCCAGCTGAATTTATTTCTATAACTTGCAGGATCGAAACCCATTTCAGAACAAAGAAAACGCAAATAGAATAAAAGATCACAGCAGAAATCTGAAACGTAGAAAGACTTGGAAACCAAGCGACGACCTTGATTTCTATTGCAACACAAGAAAATCAACTGCATGTTCGAAGGACAAAAAAGAAGAGAAAAGAATAAACGATAAAGCATCCGTCCGAGAACAAGGACCCGTCAAACGCGCCAATCTCATCACAAAACCCTAAATCCTAACAACCCAAGAAGCATCGACGAACGAACCAGGAATACCAAAACCCACCTAAAACCACCCTTTCGGCCCGTCCTCTCAAAACCCTAAGACAATTGCAGCAAAGCGCCAAAACGAAGGAAAAGCCTCGCCAAGATTTCTCCAAATTCACCTCGAGATCCCATTCCAACCCGGTGGCAGACCCCTCCCCATCTCCCTGAACCTGCCCAAAATTAATGCTGCTTGTCGTCCAAAGGGATCCCAGGCGGCACCACAAATCATCGAAGGAGTGCATTAAAGAACGTACCTTTCCGATCAGGAGGCTGTTAAATCCCACCAACTCCGCGCTGTGGCAGGCCCATCCAAAGGAGATCCAACGATTAAAACCTCGATCCTTCGATATCTTCGAAGGAACTCCACCGAGAAAAAGAAGAAAATTCTCGATCAGAATCCCCCGATCAGAGGATCAAAAGAAGAAACCAAGGAAAAGGGATCCCTTTTGCCGTCTAATTCATCGAAATCTTCGATCTCGGACGAGTAGCTTCCGCGGAACGATTCAAAATCGCGGGGCAAAAGGTCTTGGGAATGCGGCAAAGAGGTTTTGGGCCGATGACCCTCTCTTTTAATTAAAGCACGTTACGTTGATCGATTGTTTACGGCCAAATAGGAAAGGAGGGTAAATTAGAAGCTGATCCGTGTGGGGCCGGCGACATGCGGCCATCGTTCCGCCACGTGGCGTGGGCGATTCCCAGTCGCACGGGGCTCGGCTTGCGATCCACCGTCGGGACGGTGGCTCGAGCCCGCCGGGTGGGGGAAACGCGTTTCCTCGATGCATCGTGGTTTTTCCCCCAAAACAAGTTTTTACTACCCGTATTCACCCTGAGAGAGAATGACTAGAGGGTCCCACCTTTCTCCTCCAATATCCTTACTTGCATACGAGCCGGACGCGAATCTGGGTAGGAAAAGAAGTATTCGGTTTTAGTGTTCTCAAAGCAGCCGTCTTGGATTCTCTTAAGCTTTTATCTTTAGATTTACAGCTGAGTGGAGTGGAATGGAATAGAATGGAATGGGGGCATCACCAGGCTTTGGATGATGTGATGACTGGGTCGCCCATGGAGCAGCAGTCCGGGGAGAGGAAGCTTGTGAGCTGGAAAATTACGGAGACATGATTCAATGACACTATTCTATTATCAATAATCAATATATTAATTAATTAATTAATTAAATTGATTGATATTTTAAAATAATTTATCGAACTCTCCATCAAGAGTTAGTCGTATTATCATCAGACCCAAAATATTGCACATCAAAATTATTATTTCATTTATCACGAAGATTCGGTACGTACTATTCTGAATATGTCGACTAACAAATGACATCGTAAACATCAATATGTTGTCGACTTTTACTATTAAATTACTACTAATTTAGCCGCATGTGATGCATATCTCAGCATTGCAGGTTTGACTGAAGTTTTGTGAGGAGTTGATGGATAAAGAACATATATAATTTGGATGAACCCAACTCGGTATTTTGTTTGCTAATCTGCAGTGTGATCGATTATTTATGCGTCATTTCGTTTGTTTAGTCTGATAATGTGACATTGTTATGCTTGATTTATTTATTCACTGTTCCTTACGATTCAGGAATTCAACATACAGTTTCGAGATATTTTTATGTCCTTCAGGAAACATCAGAACAAGAAAAAAAGAGCATCGACCTTTTGAGTCATTCACGCCTGGAAAGGTGCAGCCCAGAAGTCTCCCTCCCTGTTTCTTCTGGCTAATTGTGCCATTAGATGATGATGATGTTTGACTTGGTGGTTCCACGTTTGTTTTAGCTGGTCCAGTTCCGATGCAAGCTTGCTCGCAAGGAAAGGGAACTGCTGATAGTTCTTAAACCTCATCTAATATTTTGTCCCCAACAAATATTATTTTATTTTAAGAATCTAGATAACCTTTTTCCGTTTATTTTGATTCCTTCCAAACATGTCTACTTATAAGACTTGCTTGTTAATTGCATGGAGTGATGAATAATTTAGCTATCTTTAGCCTTTAAGCAATCTCAACATTCTTTGCATAAAGCTAATTATATATTATCCTAGATTTTATTAGTATTTAGATCTTTACATTTAAAAATTTTATATTAGGATTCTTACCATTATAAAAGTAAAGTATTTAACTTTATTTACCTTAAAAATTATTAATTTTATAAATAGAAAATATAGCACGTATAGAAATGATACCAAAATAATTGATATTGTCAGGAAAAGAATCTAGATAACTTTTTTTTCCGTTGATTTTGATTCCTGCCAACCATGTCTGCTTATTAGACTTGCTTGTTAATTGAATGGAGTGATGAATAGTTTATCTATCTTTACAATCTCATGTTCCAATTTCAGAAGTTAATTATATATTATCTCTTAATTATAATTAGACTTAAGATAGTATTTCGATATTTAGATGAAGCTAATCGTATATTGTCTCTTATAATTAGATTTCGTTAGTATTTTGATATTTAGATTTAAAAATTTTATATTAAAATTTTTATAATTATAAAAGTTAAGTATTTAACTTCATTTACCTTAATGTCGTTGGTTTTACTAATATAATATATGATAGATACAAAAAAGATTAAAAAAATAGATAAAAATATAATTTTAATATTTTAGGTACGTTTTCATTAGTAATGGATGACGACATTGCTGAAGGCCTCGGATGGCTGTTGTAGAAGAGAAAAAGAGCGACGACAAAAAACGAGACAAAATGAGTGGGAGAAGAAGATGATACATATGCCGACACTTTGCATCTACATTGGTACTGATAATAATGCCGGGAAGGATGACGTCTTTCTATATCTGTATTAGCATCGATATGATTGTCGAGCAGCACCGATGCAGATGCATAACGTCAGTATTTAAGTCATCTTCTTACTCCTCTCTCTTTACCTTACATCTCGCCATCGCTCTCCCTCATTATCCTCCTCCTCCCCCTGTAATAAGAAGCTACATAAGTCTTCATCGTTCTCGTTGATCACTACGTCGTTCTCACTGACCACAACTATAAAAGTCATCCGTGATGTTATCGTTTATCATCATCGAAAACATAGTTAGAATGCTGAAAATATCTTTTTGCCCATAATTTTTTACGCAAGAAAACGACATGAGAGTAAATAAAGTTAAATATTTCACGTTCATAACCATACTTATTTCAACATAGATTTTTTAAGTATAAAAATCAAGATATTAAAAAAATCTAATTAGAGAGATAATATATAATTAAGACGGTACTAGAGAAATCTCCATACTTGTGAGATGTTCATCTCTTTCTGCCTGCAGGAATATCCAAGGGAAGTCAAATGCAGCAACTTCGATTGGTTTCTACTAAATGGAAACTATTCTTCATCCAAGCTCTTAATTGTGTTTTCGTGTACAATAAAAATTGACATACAACACAGAGCAGGAAAATTGTAGAGCAAGTCATGATGTCTAAACTATGGAGCTGAAATTAAGGGGAACCGTTGAAGCTTAGTCAGATTTGTGGGGTGGAAGTCAAAGTCTTTTCGGCTGTTCAATGGTACTTTGGTCAATGAATCAACAGTCAAACACAGCCTTTTCCTTACCAAGTCCAACTTGAACACATTGTGGGCTACCAGTTGCAGAGGATCCTGTTGTTGATGAGTGACATTGAAGAGAACAGGAAAATGTGTGAATCATTTTGTTGTCCAGGTGACATTGGGTGAATAATGATTCCCAAACTGTTCTTTTACATATAGAGGCAATAACAAAAAAGCTATCACAGAAAACTTTTGTACAAGGAACAAAGAAGACAAGATGAACTTTTAGTTGCCCTGCTCTTTACACTTCCAGTGGAGTCAACAGTTGGATGCATAACAAGGTGCTCCAACCACTATTTTCTTCCTCATAGAGTTTATTCAAATTCAAACAGTCCATTTCTTCTAGCATTTCTTTTCCATGAAAATTACATATCCATCCAATCCAAGGTGAGAATTTGAATGCTCAAGAGTTTATGGCCTTCAATTTTTGGTGCTATTTGAAAAGTGAATCACAGCTAAGAAACATCTATTTGACTACAATCAGGTAGCAAAATTACAAAATCAAACAGCATGATCTTGTGAAAGCCCAAAAAGAAACTTAGGAGTGCAGTGAACTGCATCTGGGCGTAGGAGAAAAAGGTTTGTTTCACCATGGAGATGAGCCTTGACCATGTTTGTTTCACCATTAGCTTATTAGGCCCATCAAGTAGACTAGATGCAGCACTGTGTACTCCCAGTTCTTAGTCACAAATACACAGATGATTGACTTCTATGATCCTTTGAAATGATCTGTTAAACAAGTTACAACAATTTTAAAGCTGCCAAGGTTCAGAGTTCTCATCAGCTCTATATGTTACACAACACTATGCTACACCTATTTTTAGGACCTTTGAACTTTTACAACAGAAGAAAACTGATGGTGATTGTTTTGAAGCCCTGCCCTCCTTTGAAAATTCTGGGCAGAGGTTATGGGAGAAGATGCAGGAAAGGAGCCACACCTAGCCAAAGATCTGCTATCTAGAAGTCAACTTTCACCCATTCATATCGACCAGGAAGCGGGCAGTCATTTACAGGATCAAAGTTGTACCTAGAGATATACCAAGAGAACACCAAGAATAGATTGTGAGAAACACCTATGATGGTAAAATAAGGCTTTCTTATGAGTCCAAGAACATATAAGCTTATGTAAGAGACAGTGAAAAGACACCTATACCTTTCTATAAATATTCGTTGCTGGAGTTGCTCTGCCCCTGCAAAAAACTCTTCCAACTCCTGAGCAGTAGGAATGTTATGACAAACACTTTGCGGCCTCAGGCTAGTGGCCATAGATCTGGCAGGCCTGTTTGTAGAACCTGGAGTCTGTATCGCTTCTGGATCCCTGATCAGACTGCAAGGTGTGGTCTCCCTAGAGAACCTGAAGCCAACAAATACTACGTCAGAAACATAGCATTCACATGGAATTTAAAAAACTTCTAAGGTCCTTAAAATCGAATGTTTCTCGATGAAACGTAGCTAGAAGAAAGTCGACAAGGATAGACTTCAGGAATTTTAAACAGCTCAGAAAGTTGAGTGATGTAAATGTATTTGTTTCTCCCTTTATGCATGCAGTTGCAAGTGAGAAAGAAACACATGATCAATTACAAGTTCACATCGTGTGTGCAAGTTAGAAGACTCATTAGAACATGTGAAATCTATATGAGATCCCTAAGCATTAATCCACAACAGCCAACCAAGGGCCTCAAATATTGCCCATGCCTTGAACAAAGAGTACAGAAAACACAGTCAGTGGTATCAATCCATATGAGATCCCTAAGCAAGTTAGAGGACTTATTAGAAGATGTGAAATCTATATGAGATCCCTAAGCATTAACCCACAACAACCAATCAAGGGCCTCAAATATTGACCATGCAGGGTACAGAACACACAATCAGTGATACCAACAGTCAGAGGACAAGTCCCTAACATTCAGCACTTGACAACGAGAGCATTGCACAATAAAAAAATAATACAATAATTTAGTTACACC